CTCACCCCAGGAGGCACCCTGCTGTCTCTTCTTGTCTTAACTAAGTCCTCAGTCTGCCCTGGAGCTCCTCATATGACTTCTGTCACCACAGCTTTCGTCTGTCTATTCTTTAACTTCATATATTTGCAATCCTACAGCATCTGGCATTTTATGTCTGGTTTCCTTTGATGTCTTCCACATTTTTAAGATTCCTTTTTTTAAAAAAAAGAAACTTGATTTAAACTTGATTTTATTCACGTTTTTTTAATGTGGTGCTAAGGATTGAACCCAGTGTCTTGCACATGCTAGATAAGCTCTCTAAGGCTGAGCAACAACCCCAGCTCCCCTCAGTTTTAAGATTTCTTGTCTGCAACTCCATACCCTTTCTCTGTCTTCCTTATGGGAACTGCCCTTTCTCTCTGCCACATTCTAGCCACAAGGGGGAAGCAGAGGCCGAGGAAACCAGGAGAGACTGCCTGGGTGGCCTTTCCATTGGCCCAAGAGTGCTCTGGCATCCATGGAGCACCCTCTTGTTGGGTGTTTGTGTTTCCTTCCTCTCTGGGAGGGAGTTTCCAAATGGTTCTGGACATGCCCTAATTTTTTAAAAATATTTTTTAGTTGTCAATGAACTTTTATTTTATTTATTTATATGTGGTGCTGAGAATTGAACCAGGTGCCTCACACATGCTAGGCAAGTGCTCTACCACTGAGCCACAACCCCAGACCGCATGCCCTCCTTTTAAAGTTATGTATTTTGAAAATGCAGCTAACAAATATGTACACATATTATTCAGCTTATGAAAACAAATAGATGTAAGGATAAAATTTTATGATAGAAGTTCTGATGTACTCTTTTCCTTCCCTTTTGACTCCCAGGTCCCTGGAGCACCCATAGCGCTGGTGCCCCCAACTCTTTTAGATTTAGATTTTCCTTGGGGCAGACCTCTCCCTGTCAGTGTTTGTCCTCATGACCCTATGACCTTGGATAGCTGCCACATATTGCAGAGGCTCCATCCCTCAGCTCTAGAATGAGGTCAGTGAGAAACACCTCATGGTATTATACTAAATCATCATGGGAATGAGGTATAAAATGTTCCAGGTAAAATGACCCTCAGAATGGTGTGCCTAAGTATTTCTTGGTGGTTATTAGAGAGCAGAGGCCCTTGCTGTGCCTGGGGAGAGGAGTCTCTGTGACAGGAGAGGAACAGAGTGTGTAGCATCCCAAGGACTATTAGAATGTGCTTCTTGGGGCTGGACAGGGCCTCTCCTGCCCTATGCACCTCTCTATTTCTCTGAGGAGAAGAGGTCCAACTTTGAGATCTCTAGGCCATTTTCCATGACCTAGCTTTGAAATCCCTCCACTGGGACTCACCTGTTTCACCCTTAACCATACATGGGCCTGACCTACCTGGGATTGGGAGGGTCAGTAAATTTTTCCTGGGTCACTGATGGGTCACACATATGGTCAGTGCCTGTGCTGGCTCTCTGCAACTGATCTGATATTGCTGTAACTGGGGAACATGTTTCAGATACTCTGGGCCAATGTGTCCATTCTTGTATCTCATCTCCTAATAGGCAGACCAAAAGTCAGGCCCTTCTAGCCTCTCTTTTCTTAAAAAAAAAATATTTTTAGTTGTAAATGGACACAATAACTTTATTTTATTTACTGTTATGTGGTACAGAGGATCAAACCCAGTGCCTCTCATGTGCTGGGCAAGAGCTTAACCACTGAGCCACACCCCCAGCCCTGCTCCTTCCTTTTTATGGCAGCTTTCTCTCAGTCTGCTGTCTTTCCTTTTAAATTTTTAGTTATTGTTTGCTTTTCATTAGTCTAATACACTTCACTTAACTTTCTACAGGCATGTATATTTTTTCCCTCTGGCCCCACTCCCTTACTCTGTTCTATCTCAGGGCTTGAGTGGGAGGGATACTTTACCTCCCCTGGAATTTCATATGAGGAAGGGGTGGATGCTCATGCAGAGGGTGCTAGGGCAGGTGCTCCAGGCAGGAGGGCTCCGCAGCTGAATTCAGGGTGGGGCTGGGCCAGGCCCTGGCTCCACTAAGAGTGAGAGGCATAAGGAGGTCTCTCAGACAATTCTGGTTGGATATTTCAGGATGTGTTCAATCCACAGTATGAACAGAATGGGGGGTTTGGGAGAGTTAAATACTTTATATCAACCATCACTTTTTAAAAATATTAATGCATTTAATACATTTTACATTAACCATTGTTCTGTGGTTTAGGCATTTATCTGAAGCTATTTAGAAAACACTTAATATAGGAAAAAGAAGAGGTATTTATTGCAGGTTGGTCATAAAAGAAAGTTAATATTAACTTCATTAGTATTAGGATCATTTAAGTTTATACAAGAAAAATAATTTGTGGTTTAGTGAATAATGTTTCTTGTCAAGGCAGCTGAACAGTAATCCTGATGAGCTGGGAGAGGACAGTGCTGAAGTTTGGTGTCCCCTGCCAGTGCTGGTCAAGGATTCTGCCAGTGTTCTTTAAGGAGACCTGACCTGCACTTTGTCACTACTTCCATGCCCTCCTCCCCAAATGGAGGGCAGAGGGAAACCTTGGGAGGAAGAATGCTCAGGTCAGGGTGAGATAAGCTTTCTGGTCATGTAAATGAGGCAACTGAGAGTCCAAGGTCACTTTCAGGATCTTGATCACTTGAGTTACCTGGGTCAGGGGGCTGGGCTGGGCTGGAGATGTGGTGGGGGGAGGCAGTCTCCTGGCACATCTAGCCTCTCCCTCCTCTAGGAATTTACTAGATTGATGTTCCCAGATGCAGGGCTCATGGCTTTATCTCTGCAGTTGTGATAATGAGATGGCATAAGTAAAATTTATATAGCATAGTTCTTGATACTTAGTAGGAATTCAATATAATTTTGTTTTCTTCTTTTTGTAAGATTTCCCTTACAATTCTAGGCCTTGGGGAGTCTGCCTTTAGGGCAGTGATTCATGGTGGCATTGTGGGGTGGTGGTGGCATTTCACCTCTAAGTGTGGTTGTTCTGTAGGGTTCCAGGAAAATTGTGGGCACCATTTCTTGCTGCTGTGCTCTGCTGCCTTCTTCATGGTAAAGGGAGCGATGTCCAGAGGGCAGGGCACACTCTGCCCAGGATCCTTTTGCAAGCTTTTGCTTTAGATGGTGGAAGGAGCCAGAGAGGGGTTGCTCCTCTGACTGGGATGGCTTTGTGGGGGCCCCAGTGTCAGAGACTCTGCAAGAGATCCCTGCAACTTATGTCCAGCTCTGCTTTTTCCCCACTTCCTGGGAACCAACTTCCTCTTGGAAGTAAGGAATTTGGGCCCCCTGCATTGGACTCAGAAGCAGAGGATTGGGCTCTGAGAGCAGCTTGGGGCAGGTGCAAATTCTGAGGGCAGCTTTGGGGCCTTCTGGGGTCCTTGTGACTCTGATCTATCTCCAGCTGCTGTGTTTCAAACACTTCAGGAAGTCATAGCCTTTCATAGGGGGGAGAACAGAGAAGCAGGTACGTTGGCTTTGAATATACCTCTGATCTAAGAGGAGGAAACCAGGGAGAAGCTAGTGGCAGGAAGAAGCTGAGGATGAGGTAGTCGGAGAGGCAGTGGGGGTGGGCAGGTGGGACAGTCTTGTTCTAGGAAGACCCAGGAGAAGCTTAATGAGGGTTGTTCCTTTATTCATTTGTTTTAATGATATTTCTGTAATATTTTCTGGGCCTGGGCCCTGTTCTAATTACATGTATAGTGATTATAAATTCTCATCATTTTCATTACAAACTTGGGATGTAGATGTTGTAACTATGCCCATCATACAGATAAGGAAAAGGAGGCCAAGAAGTTCATTTTGGGAGTGGCTGAGCCTGGAGGGCAGCCTAGAAGACATCTACAAGAATTTATTTTTCCTTATACTACGGACTGACTTCTCTCTGCTCCTTCCAAACAGTAGGTAATTTGGGGTCTTTTCCCTGACTTTTATCTCTAAAAGATAAAAAAAAAAAGTGGAAGGGAATGGGCTGAGATTCAGGTTTAGGTGAAGTCCACATCTAAAACAAAAGCAAGACAGTGTTCTGGGCTCCTGTGAGGGGCACTACAGCCTCCTTGAGGATGTGTGTGTCTCTGACACTGCCCAGGCCAAACCTGCACATAATTAGAGGGAAGAACAAGAGAGAAGCAGGACTTGAATGTCCTTCCTGATAGGGACCCTGAATCTGGGCCCTCCTTTAGGGGGAGTCATGAGTGGTGAATAACAGAGAGAGAGAGAGGAATGGCTTTCACCACAGAGCTCCAGGTATGGGGAAAGGAAAGGCCAAGTAGAGCTGCCCTGTGGTTGGGGTGGGAAAGAAAGGAATAGTTTCTTACCAGGTAATTCTATGGTTTCCTGATACCACAGTCTTCCCAGAAGTGCTGGAAGGATCCTGGGCTCAGCTATTTGTCAGTGTCAGGGTTCTGGGGGGGCCCAGAACCCTGTTAGTATGATGTGCCAATAGGAAATGCTTTGCTCCAGCAGGGGACTGCTGTCCAGCCCTGAGTCCTGCTCTCTATGCTGAGGTGCTGGAGCTCTGGGCTGGACCTGCCTCCTGCCTGCAGGTCTTGGCCCTCATCCCCATCTCTCTCCCCAGCTCTAAAGATATGGAAGGGCACTGCAATCGCTCCTTGCTCTGCTCTCTCACTTCCCTGCTTCTCCTTGTCCAGCTGTCCACAGGTGCGTGTCCCCATCTTTACTCCTTTGTGGTTTTAAAAGGCAAGATATAAAAATATTTGAAAATATATTTTCCCTCATTTTTTGTTTTCTTGCCTTTTCTTGTGTGTGTGATGCATGCATTCCATTCATTCATTCATTTTATTCCTGAAATATTAATGAAATGTTGTTTGCTAGGTGCTATTCTATGAAAGAATCAGACAGAAATCTTGCCATAAAATTTACCTTCTGGCAGGAGAAAGTGATAATAATTGCAAGTAGGCAGAGGGGCCTAAATGTGTTGGAAGAGGTGGCCACAATGGGAAATGCAGCAGGGCAGGATGTGGGCAGTCAGGGGCATGGGAGGCAGGTGTGGGCAGGCAGCAGTGTTCAGTGAGGTGGTGTATAGATGGGAACATAATCCTGGAGAAGGAGGAGTGAGCTGTAGGACCATTTGGAAGGAGGGTTCCTGCAGGAGGAACCTGTGCAGAGCTGGCAGTGTGCTGAGGTGTGAGGAAGCACAGAGGCCAGGGTTTGCTGGGCTAGAGCCCATGGGGAGAGAAGCAGTAGGTGAGTTCAGAGAGGTCTTGGGAAAGGGGTCCACCTTGTCAGTCCTGGGGAGAAGTGGGGAGCCATGTGGAGGCTTTGAGCAGAGCAGCAACATGGATTAGCTAACATGTTAAAAGGATCACTGAGGTCAGGAATCCTAGTCATCCTCCAGTTGAGATGTAATGGTGGCTGAGACCAGAGTGGAGAGGCACAGGGTTTGAGAGTAGCTCTTTGGAGGTGTTGCAGCATATCCTGCAGAGGAGTCATGTGTTAGCCTCAGAAGTCCAAGAGAACCAAGGGGGTGGAGAGTGAGGTGAACTGCTTCTTGAACATGCATTGATGGGGGTTTCCATGAATGACAGAGAACAGGATTTTCACAGCATTAAGTAGCATTTGACTCTGTGTTTTAAAGTGCATATGTATTTCTCTCCTCCCTCAGTGGAGGATAAAAATATAGACTGAAGTAAAAAATTTAGAATTGGAAGAGGGGAATTTCCTCGGTGTGGCTGAATGACCAGAGTCTGATCTCACCACAGGTGTGCTCTTTGTCTGTTTTCAGGTTTGTACTGAGATAGGGCAATTTAGGCCTGGTGTTCCCAAGGTGTGCTCCCCAGACCAACCTTGGAACTCCTTGTAAATGCACATTCATTGGCCCACCCCAGATCTAGTGAATGAGACAGTCTGGATTGGGCCTAGTGATGTGTGCTCTATAAGGCATCCTAGTGGTTCAGGTGCAGAAAGCTTGAGAACCACTGAATTAGAGATTATTTCATGGAAGGGCCTGGTACCAAGAGCAGATGCCAGTGAGGGAGTGTCTTTGGCATCATTTTGGGGCCATATCATATAGTCAGGAGATCTCTTCCAAATCTATCAAACCTCACGGGTCATCTCATCTGGCCCCTGCCCCAGCTTTCCTGGCCGTCCCACCTGATGGTATATGTTCTCTGTTTTTTGGGCTGTGTCTCTCTAGCTTTTTCCCCCATGTCTGTGTCCACAGAGCAGTTCCAGGTTATTAGCCCTTATTGCCCCCATTGTGGCAGTGCTGGGCAAGGATGCCATACTGCCCTGCTCCCTAGTCCCTGGCATCAATGCAGAGAACATGGAACTGAGGTGGTTCCGCATCACATTCTCACAAGCAGTGTTCATCTACTGGAACCAACAGGAACAGACTGAGGAGCCGATGGCTGATTATAGAGGGTGGACCTCACTGGTGAGCAAGTTCCTCACTCAGGGGCAGGCTGCTGTGCACATCCACAAGGTCCAGGTTTCTGACAATGGAATGTACACCTGCTTCTTCAGACATGGAGGCTTCTCTGAAAAGGCTGATTTGGAACTAAAGGTGGCAGGTTAGTTACTTGATACCTATTCTGGAGACCTTGGGAGTACTGGGTTTGGTGGGAATATCAGGGATCATCTAATTTAGCCTCACATTTAATATGAAATAGAGGAAAAAATGGTTCATTCAGTTTTTCATTGATCAATACAAACACTGTATATTGGGCATCTCAAATATGGGGGGGAATTGTTCTGTGTTCCAGAGATATATCAGTATAGCATATACCCCAGCAGTGAGTTTACCTTCTAGAGACAAACGAAGAATAAGTATAATAAATAATTTAGTACAACATGTGATAAGGTGATAAGTACTTAAGACAAAAGACCAAGTAGAATTAAAAAAGAGGCACAGGATGTGGGCTAGTAAGTTAGGACAAGCTGTAGTGTTACATAGAGGCCAAGGCAGAGCCTTACTGACAATCTGAGCAAGGTTCAAAGGAAGTAGGTATTTAGCCAAGGGGCTATCTGGGTGGGCCAGAATTTAACACTCACCTGGTGTGAAACCTTTGAGTTAGAAATATTGTTGATTATTCAGGGTATAATGAAACCATCATGGTTGGTAGGAGGAGTGAGGGGGAGGATGGTAAGAAGTAGCAATGCTGGAATAAGGAGATGGTCCTGTATTAACACCACTGACAGATGTAGAATGAAGTCATTAGGAGTGGACACCTGGGCTGGCACAAAAGCCCTGGATGTTGATGGGTTGGAAGTTAAAAAGGCAGAAGGCATACAATATGGTGATTTTGGCTACTTGCACTTAACCAGATAGTTTTTGGGGTTGAGTGTATGGGCCTTGAGGGTCTCAGATGGTAGAGTTTGTGGAGAATTGTTGGAGAGAAAGGCAGTTACCAGATCAGTAAAGACTTTGTGTGCTGTGTTATGGAGTTTGGATGCAGACTAGGGGAAATCCTAAACAGAGCCATGCTGGGAATGCTCATGTTGGCAGTTGTGAATGGATGGATGGGAGGTGAGCAAGAAGGAGGCATGGAGTGCAGTTATGATGTGGAGAGAATGAGTGCCTGACCTGAGGCATGGCAGTGGGGTGGGAGAGGAGGGGTCAGACAGGTTTAGAAACTAGATTCAACTGAATAGACTTGTGCACACAAAATTTGGAGGGGGAAGAAAATACTTGAGAGACTTTCAGAATTTTATTTAAAACATTTGTTGTTTCATGGCAGGACTATTGATAATTATGTGTCACTTCTACTGCTGTAATAATGCTGTGTAACAAGCAGCCACTATTTCAGGTATGTTTGGCAATAAAAATGTATTTAATTTAGGCACTAACCAAATTCAACTAATTGGGGCTGATCTTGGCTAATAATCACCTGGGTTTAGTTTCGCATACTTGGTTATGTATCAGAAATATAATTAAAAACAAAATTTCCCATACTAGGAGAAAATACTTTTAATACTTAATAAGCATCAAACCAGAATGATACATATCATGCATGATCTCCTAAGGAATTACACAACCAGAAAGGAATTTCATCTTTCTTTCTATAGCCTGTATACTTGTTTTCAAGATGAACAATAAGTAATTCTCTACTGAGGGCTCAAAGCAATTTGTTCTGCATATGTCATTCTAAATTTACCTGATAGTTTGGGAGACCATCTGTATCATATAACAGGCTTCATCTGGAAGAAGAATAAACTCCTCCAGCTTTATGACATGAGGTGGTTTTACAATTTGGAACAAGATGCCCATATAAGTTTGACTTCTACCTTTACACAGAAAAGGGGCCAAGGGTTGGTATCTTCCCTGATGTTTACATTTCAAACATATGATTCCCAGATCCTTGAGAAAGAAATTCCTGAGCTACAAAGCTGGCAAAATCCTAGCCAGTTTTCAAAATCATGTGTCAACATTTCAAAAGAGGGAAAAGTGCCATTGTGTAATTGCAGTTTCTCAAAGAAAATGCTAGAAGAAAAAGAGAAGAATCTTATTTTATTCAACAGGGAGAATTGAGATTTTCACTTTTAATTTTCAATTGTTCTGAAGTCAGCAGAAACATTCACCAGGTGCACCTTGGTTAAGTGTGCTCATGTTTCAGGTGGTCATTTGACTAAACTAGGGCAGCTGAAGCAGGTGGACCAGGCAATGTCACATGATCCATCCTCCACTGGGTAGCCCAGGATTGTCCTCCTGTGGAAATGGCAAGGTTCAAGTGCTTTTCAAACCTCTGCAGTCACATTAGCTAAATTTTCATTGCCAATTTGAATCCCATGACTGGTCCCAGAGGCAAAAGCTAAAGGCAGTAAAAAGTGGAAGTGGAAGAACTGGCTATAAATAAGGGTGAAGAATTGGGATATTTTAATAATCATTTTATCACAAGTGGTCCAAATTATGAAGTCAGTTTTGGAGTTTTGAGTTTGAAATGTTTGTGAGGAAACCTGGTAAAGATAACTCATGGAAACATGGGTGTAGGGGAAGAGAATTCAGGAAACTAAGTAGTCATGCAATACAATTTTGGAAGTGATATACACAGAGAGGCAGATGTCCCAGGAGAGTGTGTGAGGTGAGAAGACTGAGATTCATGGAGGGAGCCTTGGGACCAAATTCTTTGTGTTGCCTCTGGCCTCACAGTTTGGGAGACGAGCCCACTGCCCTGTGTGGGTCATGCTCCTTGATTTAATCCCCTCTGGTAGGTGACCCTTCTGATAGAAACCCCAGAATTCAACATGGAAAACCTTCCCCCTGAAGTTGTGTAACTCATAGGCAACTCTGTGGTCTCAGGGCCCAAGGAGGCCTACTGGGGCTCCACAGCTTCCTTCCTTCCAGGGATGGGTGCTGACCCTCAAGGGCACATAGAAGGACCAGAAGAGGATGGAGTGCGTGTGATGTGCAAAGCCTCAGGATGGTTCCCAAAGCCCCAGGTGCAGTGGAGAGACCTCTGTGGAAACAAGTTCCTGGCCCTTTCTGAGGCCCACACCCAAGACAGTGAGGAGCTGTTTAGTGTGGAGGCCACTCTGGTGGTGAGAGACAGTTCTGTGGGGAATGTGACCTGCTCTGTCCTTAACCCTGTCCTGGGCCAGGAGAAAGCCATGGCTATTTACATCCCAGGTCAGTGCTGCTTCCCACTCCCAGCAGAGCTATGGGGAGGGCTGGCCTCTCTGAGTGTGCTGGTCTCCTGGGTGTGCCCCTGACCTGCTGTCTGCCTGGGCCACAGAGCCCTTCTTCCCTCAGGCTTCTCCCTGGAAGCCAGCATTTGCTGTGATCCTGACCATGCTCGGGCTCCTACTCTTGGGGGCTTGCTATTTTATCAGAAAAGAACATTCCAGAAGGATGCAGGTGAGGCAGGAAAAGGAGCATCTTTGCAGCTTAAGGCAGAGAAACAGCAGGCAAAGGAAGAGGTGCTGAAGGCCATTGGTAAGACCCCACAGGGCAAGTGCAGACCTGGTGGTGAGTGGGACAGCTGAGGAGGGCCAGAGTCTGGGGTCCAGCTCTCTAGGGAGATCTGGGGTCCTGGGCCAGAGGAGGTGACTGAGGAGATCAGAGAGGACAGCTAGAGTCAGTGGGGTTGGGTGGGTTTGTAGTTAGAAATTCAATAAACAGAAACGTTTTTCTGGGGTTTTTCAGGCACACAGTCTTTCCTTTTCTTGGGGATGGGTGTTCATGCTGTTTTTCATTTTCTTTCAGATGAACTCCAGGCAGATCTCAGCAAATTCTGCTTTCCTGCCTGAATTTTGTATGTTTCTTTGTTAGCAGACATTCTAGTTCCTAGCTCCCCTATTTCTTGGGTTGTTTTTCAGATCAGAGAAAAGCTGCTTATCTGTTTGGTACGTGACTCTCCAGGTATCTCTTGTTTCCTTATCCTACCTGGTGTCCCTTCTCCTTCTTTCTATCTAGGCAGACATGTGGTTCCCCGTCCATGGGAAGCTGATTAGAAGCTAGTGGAAGCCAGAACCCTGCTCCCTGAGCTTTCCATGATCTTGGCTGCTTTTTCCTACCTAGAGCTTGGAAACTTGGGTGTGATGGTGACCCCTTGTCTGTCATGTATTCTGCTTCTCATTTCAACTTTGGCTTGCCCATGTTATATTGTGTGGGAAGCCATCCATGAATTATTTGAGGGTCTTCTTTAGTTTTGGCAGCCAGGAAGGCTTTAGGGTTAACCTTGGAAACTATCTGTGGCTCTCCCATGCAATAGATTTCCCAAGACACATAACCTTTATCCACAACCTACTAGATACAAAAGTACATACAAGAGGAAGTGAGGGGAAAGGGAAAAATAATACAAGGGGGACAAATGAATGTCAGTAGAGGGGGCAGAGAGAGAAGAGGGGAGGGGAGGGGAGGGGAGGGGGGATAGTAGAGGATAGGAAAGGTAGCTGAATACAACAGTTACTAATATGGCATTATGTAAAAATGTGGATGTGTAACCCATGTGATTCTGCAATCTGTATTTGGGGTAAAAATGGGAGTTCATAACCCACTTGAATCTAATGTATGAAATCTGATATGTCAAGAGCTTTGTAATGTTTTGAACAACCAATAAAAAAAGAAGAAGAAGGCATGTGACTGCATGACCAATATGATTTTATAACATGTACACTCAGAAAAATGCGAAATTATATCTCATCTCTGTATGATATATCAAAGTGCAAAAATACATTCTAATGTCATGAAAAAAAAGAAATCTCTGAAAGCCCTAGAAAAAGAAAAACACATCAGCAACAAAAGCAGTAGAATGCAAGAAATAATTAAAATTAGAGCTGAAATCAATGAAATTGAAACAAAAGAAACAATTGAAAAGGTCGACAAAACAAAAAGTTGGTTCTTTGAAAAAAATAAATAAAATTGACAGATATTTAGCTACACTAACAAAGAGAAGGAGAGAGAAAACTCAAATTACCAGCACACATGATGAAAAAGGTAATATCACAACAGACACTATAGAAATACAGAGGATAATTAGACATTATTTTGAAAACTTATACACCAATAAAACAGAAGACATTGAAGGCATTACCCATTTTGAATCAGGAAGATATACACAATTTAGACAGACTAATATCAAGTGATGAAATACAAGACACCATCAGAGGGCCTACCAACCAAGAAAAGCCCAGGACCGGATAGACACCCAGCTGAGTTCTATAAGACCTTTAAAGAAGAAATAATACCAAAACTCTTCAATTTATTTCAGGAAATAGAAAAAGAAGCAGCACTTCCAAACTCAGATTCTATGAAGCCAATATCACCTTGATTACAAAACCAGGCAAAGATGCATCAAAGAAAGAAAACATTAGACCAATATCTCTAATGAATATAGCTGCAAAAATTCTCAATAAAATCTGGCAAATCTAATACAAAAACATATCAAAAAGATCATGCACTATGATCAAGTGGGATTCATCCCAGCGATGCAAGGTTGATTCAACATATGGAAATCAATAAATGTAATTCATCACATCAAGAGACTCAAAGATAAGAATCATATGATCAACTCAATAGATTCAGAAAAATCATTTGACAAAGTACAGCACCTTTACATGTTCAAAAACTAGAAAAAACTAGAGATAACAGAAGCATATCTCAACATCATAAAGGCTATCTACACTAACCTTCAGGCCAACATCATTCTAAATGGAGAAAAATTAAAGGCATTCTTTCTAAAAACTGGAACAAGACAGGGATGACCTCTTTCACCACTTCTATTCAACATAGTTCTTGAAACAGTGTCTAGAGAAAATAGACAGATGAAAGAAATTAAAGGAATACATATAGGAAAATAAGAACTTAAATTAGCATTATTTGCTGACAATATGATTCTATACCTTATGGACCCAAAATATTCCACTAGCAAATTTCTAGGAGTAGTAAATGACTTCAGCAAAGTAGCAGAATATAAAATCAACACCCATAAATCAAAGGCATTTCTGTATATCTGTGACAAATCCTCTGAGAAGGAAATGAGGAAAACTACCCCATTTTCAATAGCCTCAAAAATATTGAGAATCAACTTAAAGAAAGAGGTGAAAGATCTATACAATGAAAACTCCCGAACCCTAAAGAAAGAAACCAAAGAAGATCTTAGAAGATGGAAAGATCTATCTTGCACTTGGATAGGCAGAATTAATATTATCGAAATCACCATACTTCCAAAAGCCCTATACAGATTTAATGCAATTCCAATCAAAATTCCAATGACATTCCTCATAGAAATAGAAAAAGCAATCATGAAATTCATCTGGAAAAATAAGAGACCCAGAATAGCTAAAGCAATCTTTACCAGGAAGAGTGAAGCAAGTGGCATCCCTATACCAGACCTTGAACTATACTACAGAGCATTAGTAACAAAAACAGCATGGTATTGACAACAAAACATACTGGTAGTTCAAGGGTACAAAATAGAGGACACAGAGACTAACTCTCAAAATTACAATTATCTTATATTAGATAAATGTGTCAAAAACATGCATTGGAGTAAAATTTTTACCTAGGAAGCTTACTTTTCTTGGGGTAAGATTAGCATTTTAATATTTCTCTGTATGTTTGTGTTTCTTTTTGGGGGAGGTGGGAGGGGCTCTATTTAATTATGGTGTAACATCTAAACTTGGCTAGAATTGTTAACCTGTGCAGATCTATTGGAATGTTTAGGGTTAACTGGATGATAAACTCATCTTTTGAAAATGGGTGGTCCCCTATAAATGTAGGATGCTGTATTGTGTTTTTAATTCTCTATGAGAATAGAAGGATTTTTAAAAGTCTTACTAAAATTATTTTTTAGGCATTCTGTTTGCCTGTAGAATTCTATGTGTCTCTAGGGAATTGTCTATGTCCCAGACAAACCATCAGGCCTGTTCCCATTTGTGTCACTGGGAAGTGGCCAAGATAAATTTCCTTTAAAACTGATTTTAAGGTAGCCCTCTATTTTAAAGTTTAGCTAAGTAATATCATAATGCCTCTCTAGATAAGATTAGACATCTAGCAGAAATTTTGAAATATATATGAATTTAGATCCCTTGAAAATCTCCCTGTATTTGTTTTGGTCTATATTAAGTTTGAGAGGTCCCCTTTGATTTTAGTTTCTACTAGTCAATTTTCTAAGGCCTTCTTTGTTAATGGTAAATGAGGCAGATATGAAGATGAGATAATTTGTATTGATTATTGTAATTTTCCAGTATATAGACTAGTTGATCCCTCCTAATAATTTAAAAAGAACCCTCAATTTCTTTTTGAGAAAAGGTCTCAAAGTATCTCTATATCTCAGAATATTATCCTTTAATTAGGTGTCTCTTAACTCTCTTTTAGAAAATATAATTCAGGTTACTTCCAAGTGTAGGGAGTAGTATATAAATCTTACCATAATTTTTATGAATAATAGGTACAGTCAGAGAACTTATATAATACTAATGAATTTCCAATAAAGTTTCTAATTTTTATTGATCAAAACAAACATATGACTTTAATTTGGAGAACATCAATCCTAATAAAATGTTCTCCAAAATCTCATAACTGTCCAACAAACAGAAGTAATATGCAGGGCTGGGGATGTGGCTCAAGCGGTAGCGCGCTCGCTTGGCATGTGTGCGGCCCAGGTTCGATTCTCAGCACCACATACAAACAAAGATGTTGGGTCCGCCGAAAACTAAAAAATAAATATTAAAAAAAAATTTTAAAAAAATGAAGTAATATGCAATAATCAAATTTAGTCTCCAAGGAGAAATGTCAAAATTGGAATTTAGTTAGTTGTTTAAAATATTCATTGTTTAATTAAGGTTGTTAATTTATTCACTAAAATTAATCCTTGCTTAAACATTAAGAATAAAGTAGGCAAATAAAGACCTTCTTAAATAAAATAAATGTAATATTTAATAGGTCTTCATCATGTCAAAATATGGACAAAATCTTAGTTCACATCAGCATAGTAAAATCAAGGAAATAGCCTGAAATATCCTTGAATTAATCAGTTCAAATTTTTATAATCAGTCCAGTTACACATAAATCTCTTTTTCAATTGTTTTGACTTTCTAAAGCATCTGTCTAGATAATTATATAAAGATTTTCCTATTTAGGAAAATACTTTTATTATTAAAATCTAGAACATAAAGATCTTGTTTTACCCAAAGATGATTTTCTTCTGCTTAGGACCACCAATGTGTGCTTCCTCTTGGTGGAAGTGCCTTCTTTTCCTTTAGAATTTTTTCTTTTGGTTATACTAGGGAATAATTTCTGTAAATCTTAGAATCTAAACAAATTATTGTACCTTGCTAAGAAGAAATATCTTAATGAAAATATAGTTAAAGCCCTTGGATATTCCTGTAGACAGAATTTTACTTTTTATCATCTTTTAAAGTTTGTACAATAATTTGAGAATTAAAGATTACTTGATTATCTCTTGAAAGTAAATTTATAGT